TATATTATATTACCTCCGTCAGCAGCATCACGATCTGAGGGTTTGTGGGAACAAGATCATTGAACATGTGACATCAGTAGAGCACAGACATCATCGATCATATTTAGTTTCTAATCATGAAGCTGCTTTAGTTTCAGGCTCCTCGTGCTGTTCTTGATTTTCAAGCTGAAGGAAGTTCGACCGGTCCAGGTTCAGTCTCGTTGATTGTGGCGCTCTGTGTTCAGGCAAACACGGAAGCGTTGGGAGCAGTTCATCCAATCAGAGAACCAGCACCTGGTGAGTCCAGAGGCTCTGGACCTGCTGGACAAGCTGCTGCGCTACGACCACCAGCAGAGGCTGACGGCGGCCGAGGCCATGCAGCACCCGTACTTCTGTAAGTGCTGCACGTCGTGCGTGGAGACCACGCCCGCCGGTCACACGTCGGCGTGTTCACACAACATCATCGCTGTCATCTGTTCACACATCGATTTGACCGATTTCATGAATTGAATGTGATAATTGAAATGAAGATTGTTTTGACGCTGCTCTTGTCCATCAGATCCTGTGGTGAAGGAACACGCTAACGCCAACACCGACGGCACAAAGGCAATAAGCAGCTCCAATGCAACATGATGAGCAGAGAGCAGGTGACACGCGTGTTTTATTTAGTCACATGCAGCAGTGCTGAGAGAGAAGACACTGAAATTGAAGTGAGACTGTTTTAAACATGAATATTTTATTGATCAGTGAATCAGAATTTCTTCTTCTTCTCATCGTGTTTGTTCATTTCAACTTTTTCATCGGCTGTAAAACTCAGATTTTATCAGAAACATGAACAGATTCCTTCGTATCGTTCCGTCCTGACTGTGTCAGATCTTTCTGTTTCCCTTCAGGAAGAATCTTTGTTACCTCAACTTGTGACCTTTTCGTGGCAGGAGCCTCCACATCAACAGCCATACTGGAGCGAGATGTCAACACACAGAACCATGCACAGATTAAATGTCTCCACAAAAACAAAGCCCGGGGAAACTACGCCGCTCGGTCCAAGTCGCAAATAAATCTGACCTGAAATCAGATCTGACTCCCAACGATCCCCTCCACCCCCCACACCCCCCCTGTTTTTAAATGAGCTATGTGACTGTTGATGGATCAGTATCGAGCCGCTGTCGTTGCTGTAAAAACGTTTGTGGTCACTACGACGCTGCAGTGACCTGAGCTCCAGGTTTTAGCACTGAGGCACCGAGGCTCCTTTCTGCTATGGATAGAACAAAAGCTATATTGAAAGAGAATAAACCGTTTTTATTTAAAGTCCAGTGTCAGACTCCCGTTTGTTTTTTCATCTGATTCACTGAAGTGTGTCTGAGGAGTCACGTGATTAAACCATCATCGATTCTTTCAAGTTATTTTTATAAAATTCTCATGAACAAAAGTTTAGTTTGAATTCAACTTTGTAACTTTAATAAAACCGTTTTTTTCTTTTCAGAATAAAAGAAGTGGTGTTCAGTTAATTCTGGCAGTTTAAAAAAGTCAAAATTAAATTAAACATTTTTCCAGATTTGACGTCTTTCACATGTCGTTTAAAATAAAGTTTAATTTGGGTCCACGTGAGACTGATTCTGACTTTTCTACGTAGACACGACGGATCAACAGTGAATTTCGTTTCTCAGTGGAATTATAAAATGTTTATTAACTGAACAGGTTTTCAGTAACTTGGTGGACGGAACACGACCGAGACAATAATTACTGAGCCTTAATGGGACAGATCATATTTAAAGAAGTGATATTTCTGAGTGTGGTGCAGTTTGAATTGAAGAAGACTCGGTGGAGGAATGAATTCTCCCCAGAGATCTATTTCTTTTTGTCATTGTTCATCATTGTGACACACAAAACTTAAATGTGATGATTCTCCAGCAGCAGCTTCTGCAGCTGATCTCCTTCGTTCAGGACGTTGATGCATCATGAAACAAAATCACCACAGAGCTCATTAACTTTGTGCACTTTTAATAAATAAACTGGAAATTCAATGTGTTTCCAGAACATAAAACACTTGTGCAACATTCGTGCGTTACAAACACTGAGTGCAGTCGTTCAGGCGAGTCTGGGCTGAGGCCGATGAGGTCAGCAGACGAGGGTCAGTTTCACTTCACCCTCAAATCCATGGATTTAAAATGCATCAGAGAAGTGGGGTTCACATTTTGGTCGAGGTTTTGAAGTTAAAAACTGGAGACTTAAACAAATCTATGAGATTTCATCAGCGCTGCCGATGGTGCTCACAGACGACGTAGCACAGAACGACTGACTTAAGAGTCAAAAACAGTAAAAAGCAGCCAACGAGTACACGGCTAACTACAGCAGATGAGCTCTGCACCCATCGAAGGCACGCCCACAACACGCCCCCTCCTCGACTGAGGACGGACGATTAAGTTTGGCTGCGTCACAAAGAGCCGACACTTTATAAAGATGCCACTGAGGCACTTCTACAAGTTGAAGGAACAGTCCGACATTCAGGGAAATGTGCTCGTTCAATATCTTGTTGACGAGTGAAGCTGAACTGTTATCAGTTATTAAAACCAGCGTTTATCAACATTCAGCAGGAAACTTTACAACATGAAGGATCATGGGTAATATCATGTGTTGTGTTTCAGTGTGACGACACAGTCGGAGCTCAACACATCCATTCACTTTGTTTTTACATGAAAACACAACACAGATAATCACCATGTTGGGCTGCAGGGGGCGCTGTCGATCAGTGACAGTTACACAGAGTGGATGTGAAGCAGTGACCTGACTTGACGAGCAGAATAACAAACTGAACACTGGGTAATATTAGAGATCGCTCAGGAGGAAGAGAGGAACGTCCAGTAACCAGGAGGCTGCCGGTTCCATCCCGGACTCCTTCAGTTTACTAAAGTGTCCACGAGCAAGATGCTGAACTCAAACTGACGATACTGACGACTGCAGACGAGACGCACGTTTCCCAAAACGCTCGACTGTTCCTTTAACTTTGCAAAATAAAACGGCGGGGGCTCGGGGGCGGGTCACATCACAGAAGCATATCGATATTCAAACATCCAAAGGGCACCAAGGACTCTGATGTCACAGAAAGAACGCCTCTGGCTTTAATAACACTGATATTTGAGAAGCTCCCAGAGAAGACTTGATTTGACTGAGTCCTCTGGCACTTGAAAGGTTCACGGCCTCAGTTCCTCGGGGCTTTGAAGTAGTTGAAGTGTCCTTGGTGTCCTTTTTAAAATGCAAATAGTCTAAGGCGTAAAAAACGGTTTCTGAAAGAAGAAGTTATAAAGCTAGAACCAGAGACATTCAGTTGTTCTGCCAAAGTAAAAAACTTAAATAGTTGCATAAATAAGTGAGTGATTATGTCGGTTTAAATATGCACATGAAATGTTGCTGTGTCTAAATATGATGCTGTTACGTCGTAGCTTCGCAGTGTTGAGGTAACGTGATAGTGGGAGTCAAGGTGACGAGGGGGCGGGGCTTGTGGACATGCATTAGACGAAAGTGAACACGTAGCTAAGAGGTGTTAGTGTGTTTGTCCCTTTTTGTTTGTATCATTCAAGTTTTACAAAGATCGCCCAAATATTACGTGAGAATCAGGGAGTCACGTGACACGGTCAGTGTCCCAGCATCCTTCAGGTCGTCTCCCTCTTCCGTCTTCAGACGCAGCCGAGACACTCACGGCAGCAGATGTTGCAGCGCGGAGTCGTCCAGTTCGTTGACGTCAACGATATGATCCAGATGTTGCAGGTAACGCTCCTGGTCTCGCATGAAGTGCGGGACTCTGGTCCGCTGGAGCGTCGCCAGGTGTCGCAGCCGCTCCACGTCTTCGTACGACACCTGCGACGAGGGCGAAGAGGACGGTTAGTGAGGTCGGGTTACACCAGACAGAGGGTTCATCTCCCCACCGAGCGTGAGAGGCTCAGAGGACGACGAGTTCTACGTTTGATGAAGAAGAAGAATTCACACCAACCTTCCCCAAACACGTCAACAACCTGAAGTCGATCGACCGTCGATGACGAAGAATCCGCAGAATTCCATCCAGATAAACCTGATCTTTACTGAAGCAACCTGAGAGACACAACA